TTGGGGAAGAGCTTTTTGGTGGAAGAGGAGTGGCAGATTTGGCAGGAGAAATTCCAAAGAGCGTAGCACCACCTGCACACAGCAAATTTTACACTACTGCATAAAATACTCAGGTACCTGAGAGATTAAAAAAAAAAAAGGTATAAACAGTGTGTGTCACTGAATGATGCAGTAACCTAGGAACTAAAAAAGCAATAAGTATCATTGCTAGCCCCTGCTTTTCGAATAAAAATGATTTTATAATATTGAACATTTTTTCCTTCAAATATACACACCCTCCTTGATTTCCCCTTTCTGCGAGGCACACTCTTGGGGAGGTGGGGGGGTTGAGAACACAAGGACTGAAAACACTGGATAGATTTTTATTTTTAGGAAAATCCAGGCTGAAATCCCGCTGAGGTAGGACACTCACAAGGTGGTCTTGCTGCCAAGATTTCATCCCACTGTTTCTTGGCTTGGGATGAGGTCCTTGAAGGACGATTAAAAAATAAAATAAAATAAAATTTAAAGGTGAATGAAAATCTTTCTGAACTCTCTGTTTGTAGCTCCAGGATAATAATGTTCACTTTAGTGCAAGTACATCATTAATTAGTAGTTCTAACAGCTTATTTATTCAGATTCGTTTATAAAATCTCTACAAATCAATTCCTATCCTCCCAACATCTCCTACATCTTGGGATGCTTGCCATTTTTACAATTGCAAAGCTAAGGAAAGGACACTGGATGCTTAAAGCATTCGATGTCACTATGTTAATTGATTCCATTATGGTCCAGTTTCTTCAAGCCTTACCACCAGCACCCTGCACTTCCCCTTTGTTCTTTCTGCACCATTACAAGGCTGTACCTCCTGTTTCTTCCCCTCCCATTCTCTGCATTATTTATAACCCACCCATTCTTTCTGGTTCTCCAGTTCAGTCTCTATTCTGTCTCTCCATATTCTGGACTAACAGTAGCTTCTTGTCCACAATACAATTTACACATCAGGACAATCAAGTGCTGAGGCACACCCATTTCTTTCACGCTCTACGTGATAGTAGAGGAGAATTGAGGAGATAGGCTTTGTGCACACCAGTTCCTTGTATTTATCATACCCAATAGAGAAAGCCAGCATAGGCTTATCAATGAAACACCATATCTCCTTAGAAGACCTTTGGGTGTGTTGGGAGTGGGGGAAGCAAAAATAAACTGCAATAGTTCTAAGAGGTCTTAGATGTTGTGTGAGCCTGATAGAAGATAAATGTGCATGTAGTTTTATTCTTAATTTTTATTATATTTCCATTTTATTCCAGCCATGAAAACAGAAATCTAATACAGTACTGATACACTGTATATTACTGCTCATAAAGTTCCTTGTTGGAATAGCAAACTAGATGCATTGCAAAACTGTTTCAAAGTAACTTTTGACTATTATCTGGGATAATTTGTTTCATGAGTAGGGAAAAAAAGTTCACCCAATAAACTCAAAGCACACGTCATAATCTGTTAGGCAACAATACGTACTGGAACAATGGAAATAAACAGAAGTAGTGGGGGAAAACCGTTTGTATGTGCTTGACATATCTTTTTCCAGGGCTGCACAAAGTGTGACCTTAAAGCCAAACCCAACCCACCACCTGTTTTTGTCTCTGCCGGGGGCAGTCAGAGGAAGAGGACTGTCAAGAATCTGGCAGCAAAAGTGTGACCTATTGCAATATTTGATGCTATATAAAGAGACATGATTAAGCTTGCATCTTACATGTACAGCAGCTTAGGAAATATACTGACTTAATTAGGAAAATTGGATAATGATGAGTGGGCAGCTGCAAAGGGACCAGGGGACTAAACCCATCCCATTCTCTATCATCCCTGCATCTTAGGGGCTACACCTGTCCCTTTTTCATTTTTCAAAATAAGATGCAAAGCATATTTTCAGTACTAGTTTGACTGCAAGCAACTGGACTTTCCAGCCACCAAATAAAAGCTTGTACCAACAGTTGATGGACTCTGGGATAGACTTAACAATGACATTTGCAATAATCTTAGAACTACGAAGCTGGAAGGGACCATATGGATCATCAAGTCAAGTCCCTGGCAAAGAGGCACAGTGAGAAATCAAACTCCCAACCTCTGGCTGTGCAAGATACCCAAAGCACTGAACTATCCAGCAATAGAGAGGGAAATGTTGAAAACTTAATTTACTATTCTTACTGAGTTGCCATTCTTATAAAGATTGAGCAAAACAAAACCATTTTGTAAATTTCATCTGTTTTTCTTAATAATTTTATTATACATATTAAGGAAGCAAAATCAAGACAAGTTGTTTGGAGATACTGACCTCTAGTTAGGTAATATCTCCATGTCTAAATACTATTGTAAGATTTACAATGCTTGTCCACATGTATAATCTTCAATAATTTCAGTTTCTTCATTGTCAACATTGAAATTATATAATTCTTCTCTAGCCATTATTTTTGTCTTCCTAATGTTCGTTCAGCTGCAGTTCTGCTTTGGAATTTTCACTTTCATAAGGAGTCATTTCTAGTCACTGCTGGTTTCTGCCAGTAATATGGGGTTGTATCTTAAACTATTGATATTTCTTCCACTTATTTTCACACTTCATTCTTTTTTCATCCAGCTTTTCACGTTATATATTCTGCACACAAATTGAACAGGCAGGGAGATAAAATACACCCTTTTCTGACCATTTTGCCTATATGAAACCATTCTGTTTCTCTTTATTTTGTCCTAACTGTAGCTTCTTGTAGGTTATGCATTAAGACAATCAAGTACTGTACTGATTCACATGTTCTCATGATCCACACAGTAGGCTTTGCTGTAGCCTATAAAACACAGAATATACTTTTTTGAACACTTTTGTATGCTCCAATAGCCAACATATATTTGCAATATGATTTCTAGTGCCTCTTCCTTTTCGGAATCTAGCTTGAACATCTGGCACTTCTCACTCCATATAGGGTAAATGTATTTCTTGCAAATGCAGTAGATACCAACTACTTAAAGATAGGAAACTAACAATATTTGGCCCGCAGTGGCCTTATTTGGCAATGAGTTCCAAGAGAAATTACTGGACCGCTACTGCCATCACTATATTTCAATTTCTATTTGGAACCATGGCAGTGGCACGGGAAGTCAGAAGGGTCAGGATACACAGTTGATGATTAGCACACTCTCTGAAATAGCCTTCCTCATGCTGCTGCTGTCCACATGTTGAACTGCAACTCAAATTATTTTGGGTTTTTGTTTTTTTGTTTGTTTTTATAAAAGGAGAATCACATCCCACAGGGTCACAATTCTCCTCTAAAACAAGGTGTGGGCTCATTGTATACTTTATTTTAGCAAATGAATTAATGAATGTGATTTAAAAAAAAAAAACAGTAGTGTCTGGTCATTTCTGGATTTATTTGGAGTGTTCACTTCTTCAAAGATATCCCCCAGAACTTTGCCAGCTTTGAGCAGAGCTATCAACAATATAACTCTTATTAATGACTAGAAGATAGCTTCTCAGAACTCAAGAACTTGTTGGGAAAAACATGGCCTATAAATAAAACAAACAAATAAATCAGTAAGAACTAGCAATCAGGGATTAAAAAAGAACATACTCTTTAATAGGCACACATGTGGTGCTTGCTCTTCAGCAGTTGGAGAACGGCTCCTCATAGATACAGTACAACAGGAAGACCCTACTGACACCCTTCCTATTGATGCTGCTGTTCAAATCAATCAAATGTGGATCCTTCTTTGTTTGGGACAAGGGCACATCTAGACCCAACTTGGACATCCCTCCCCCCAATATAGATAGAAAAACTGTAAAAACTCAGGGTTTCATTTGATCGCTGTTCAGTTATTATTTTTTGCAGCTAACATTCTCAAAATCACTGTACAGATCTTACCAAAGACCTTTCCGCTTGCTGAAATTACTTGTGTAATTTTGCTGAAACTACTCAATGAAATCACTTTATCACTGCACTCAGGGTCTAGCCAGTGTGAGCCTTGTTAGCATTTTCTACAGTCACCAGTTCTCAGCTGCTTGAGCACTTGCTTAAGCCAAAGCAAAGGTTTATACTTTTCCAAGGCTCCTCATTTCTCACTGTAGCCACAGGAATTCCTCCACAAAGCCCAGCTTCCTCTTCCACAAAGACTTAAACAAGACAGGATTTTTACATACAAAGAATCCACAACAACAAATTTTGTTTTGCAGGTGATTTATGATCCTGTCTTGTTTGAGTGCAATAAATTATAATCTTAGATTATCATCAATCTATTTTCATGATAATCTATTTACATTATTGACTGAAATAAAAGTAGAGTTAATACCGCTTGTTCACATAGTAGTTTAATGAGTCAAGATTCCTGGCTTAAAGATATTTGCAATTGTGTTCATTGTTTTTGTAAATCCTTACAACATGGAAGGTCAATATTGTTATGCCTACATTGTGACTGGAGACCTGAGTGTAAGCAAAGGAACCAATTACTTAGGAAGGTAGTGAGTGCTCCAACGCTGGAGGCATTCAAAAGAAAACTAGACAACCATCTGTCAGACCTGCTTTGATTTGCATTCCTGCATTGAGCAGAGGGTTGGACTTGATGGTCTTATATGCCCCTTCTAACTCAAGTGTTCAGTAATTATCCAGTAAACTAATTAAAACATAGCTCTGCTACTATGCCATGTTGACATCTAGTATTTTAAAATAGTACACCACTATACAATACCATAAGCATCAAAAGAATACCAAGTATACTTTGTAGGCCAGACCTGACAAAATATTTCATATTCCCAGGACTGCTCCAGGAGCAATTCTATACATGGGATACCACAAAAAATGTTTCTTTACAACGGGACATTTGACATGAATTGCTCATAAATGATTCATTGAGTTGAGGCTGGATAACTGTAACAGGCACTTGTCCCAAGTATTTATTTATACATGACTATTGCTCGTTGATGCTAGAAACCCAAGGAGTTGGTGCAAAGCATTAAAGTGCAGAAAATTAACGATTAGTCAGTTATCAATACTCATTCTTTAATAGGTGCACAATTGCTTATTTCATCTTTGCAAAAAAGATATTACAGACATAAAAAATGTTATTGCAGTGATTTCTACAGATGATGGCTAGCTCTGAGCCTAAAGTACAATATTCTACACATTCAGTTATAAATACAACTGGCTACAGCATAAGATAGCTTTAAATAATAAAATATATATTCCTAAAACTGGAAAAATGATGTAGACCCATAAGATAGCAAATATGTTGAATTTAGAATAAAGATACAATAACAAAAAACATGACAAACATTAGCCAGATTGTTAGTTTGTTTCCTTCAGCAATGCTACTGAATACATTGCTGAATTTTCAGTAGACCTGTTTAAGTAAGTTTAAGGAGGCAAAGCCTAAAAAGCAAAATACTCTGATTTGTCTCGCAAATCCATCCATCTTGCTCCAAAGTGATGAGTGAACGACTCAGATTGCCTCGCTTATAGACTGTCCTATTATTCCTCTTTACTATAGTTCAAGCCAGCAAGAAAATGCAAGTCATGTCCTTAAGATGCAAGGCCCAACAAGAAGCCTCCAACAAATCCACCAGATACCACTATGTTCTGTTTCAGAAACTCTGTGGACTGAAAAGGAAAACAGTGTTTAATATAGGCATTATGTTAATATATTAGGATTTATGCAGTGACAGACTAATAGAAAAAGCACAACAGAACTGCTGTTCCATGAGTGACTAACTATATGTTCTGCTTAAGGGTATACAAGCAGCAATACAACATTTAGAATAAGAAATTCTTAACATAAGGAATTGTTAAAGGCTTTTAAAAGTGTTTATCCAATGGCTTATGGAAGTGGAATCAAAATGATAACATTTGTGTCAAAATGAGAATGGGGTTCCTGCAGGTTTGCACTAGTAGAATGACAGTTTCAGATGCAACCCACAAAATTTACTGCAACAATACCTAGATAATTGTTTTTTAATTTTTCAAACAGGTCGTTTTCTAAAAAAATTGTTATATAGTATCAATGTTACAATGCTGTATAGACTATACAACTCATGTATTTCAATATGGCTTACACAGAAGGTTTCTGTGAATTGTACCCACTCTGTGGCATTACTAGTGTTCATTTTAAAAATAATAATAAATTCAATTTTAAAAAAAGGAATTCCAGAGAGATAACTGTATTAGGCTGTTACAGCCAAATTAAGAATTCAGTGACACCTTTAACAACCAATAACTGTACTGTGACATATGCTTTAACAGGTTAGAACCCACACATTAAAAAAATCTATACTGCCCTTCACCCACAAAAGTAGGTTCTGGACCAGTGTAGAAATAAGAGAATATAACACAGTAAAACATCAATCTACATAAATTAAAAATGATAAAAACAATTTGTTCATTAGCTAAAACCACACTGTACTCAAATGCCCATTAAAGTGTCCAAGGAAATACAAATATTTCAGTTCAGCAACTAAATAAATTCAAGGATGGTGCCAGACAAATGCATTAATAAAGTGGGCTCTGACACACAAAACTCTACACCACAATATATGCATTAGTCTCTTAAGGTGCAATTGGTCTATGTGTTGTGGCCAGAAAGTATTTTATCTCAGGAAAGTATTTTATCGTTTTAACAGGCATGGACACCTGACTCAGTAAAGGAGGTGGAAGATAGTAATCGACACTCAAATTGGCCAAAATTGACTTTTGAATTTTTTTACATCAATGTAATACTACTGTCATAAATTTCATGAATCTCACTGGCAAATTGTTGCAAGTTTAGAATTTAGTATAGGCAGTTGCTATTGCACACTAAGTTGCATGATTCAGTATGCCTGCACAACCCCGAAATTAGAAGGGCGATTTCTTTGGCCCGCTGTAATTCAATCCCTTCGGCGGTGCTAACGGGCCGATTTAACAATATTCCTTTCAACAACAGATTTTGTCCTTGCGTGCTGAATGTTGTAGAGAGCACTAAGTTGCATGATTCAGTATGCAAAAGCAAATTCCTATACCAACTTCTTAACTTGCCGCAGTTCACCAGTGACATTTAAGTCAATTGACTTATGCCAGCTGGCATAACTAATAAGATTTTGCTCTACTGAATGAATAAAATAAGCCAAGATCACAGGACAAGTCAAAAAGCCTTCTAACACAGTCAAATTTCAAGTCAGGAAGTTGGCTCAAGTAAAGTCCTTGCAAACTGGGCTGGGATGTGGTGTGATACTGCGCTACTGCCAACATACAAATTAACTATGAAGCCATCTCAAAACCAATGCTTGGACAAGCCAAAGCTCTACTCACTATCCCTTTTCTTGGATTAAGAGTTTCACCCACTAACAAACCTATTTGCCAGATATATTACACCAAGAAAGTACCTCCCTGCCTCCCGGCCAACAGTATATATTAAATAAAAAACAATACATGCCTTTACCTCTTCGATCAATGTGTTGATTTCAGGAGCTGCCTTGTTTGCTCGCTTTTTGAGCTGCTTCTTCGCTTTATTTACATCTTTTTCAACCCTTTTCCAGTCAACCTGTACATAGCCGCTGTGACTCGCTATCTAAGAAAAGTAGAAGACATGTCTAAAATGGAAGCATAAAATATCAGCATGCATTAAGGAAAAACAATTGATTTAGAAAATTAAAATAAAAAGTAATCTACTAAGGAAGGAAATCTGCATATGGTATTAGTAAGGGAGCAGTGCTACTTCCACTAGCAAGCTAGCTAAAAACCATGAGGAGATGGAGCCTGCCTGGTTTTGCCAGTGGAAACAGAAGCATGGAAGGACAGTTGCATGACCAGATGACCTCCAACCAATTCACAGAAAACTCCACTAGCATGGTGGAACAAGGGAAATGGTTCATGCTAGAGATGAGCGCTAAGGATAGGGCTTATATATTTTAGTGAAAGGAAAAAAGAACACAAAATCTATTTTTTAAACATTTTTCATTTATCAGTTCCCAAAAGAGAGCCTCTAAAACATGTCTGAGTCATATCAATGAAATGTTACCCTCTTCCATATAAATGTTCTTCCACATTGTATACCAAATATTTCTTTCACCTTTTAAACTTTGTTTCACCTTATGTATGTTAAACAGTCTCAGAAATTTTTCATCCAAAGTATAGCAAGGGCTACTGTGAATACACAGTGGCATGACAGTGGTGAGGACTGTCAGCAATCAATCAGAATGCCCGAGAGGGAAGAGGGACTGCTGAATCTGAAGAAGGGCCTGGAACGCAGTGAGAAGCTTTGTTTGTTTTTGCTTCATAAGCTGCACATGCTTTTATTGCAATGTGTCTTGAATGTGGGGCATTTTCACCCTTTTAAAAAATATTTTTACTGCTGGGAGGCAATGTACTTGCGTCAGTATGTCTCCTTGGAATTACTATTTTGGGGATTTTCCCTTCTTTTTGATTTTATTTTCTTTGGATGGATGTCTCCCTCCTTTCTTTCTTGGATTACAGTAGGACCCCCCATATTCACTGGGGATTGGTTCCAAGCCCTACTGCAGATACTGAAAACTGACAAGAACTAACTCTGTGTGTGTGTGTGTGCAGAGGAGGGAAGGGGGGAGAGAGAGCATGATAAAAAGGGAAAAAAATTTAAAAATTTAACGTGCATTACCACAATTGGCAATAGAGGGAGCCAGATACAACGCTATGTATTCTTAACTAGCAGGTATTCATAGCATGTTCTCTAGTTCCCTTTACTGGTCGGTTTCGGTAATACATGTGAAAATATATAGGGTTTTAGAATTTAAAAAATATTTTCTGGATAAAGAAAACCACAGATACAGTGGTGCCTCACTTTACGATTGCCCCGCATTACGATGAATCCGCTTTACGACAATCTTTGCAATCGCAATTGCGCGAGAGAGTAATAGAGTGTGTAGTTTGGGAAATTCTGAGGAGTGATTAGCTGTTGAAGATATCAATGAATCAAACTCTGTAATCAATGAACCAAAGTTTTACAGTGGTGCCTCGCTTAACAGGCGCTCCGTTTAGCGATGAAATCGCTTAGCGACGACTTTTTCGGAGCATTTTTGCACTTCATTTACTGATGGTCCCTATGGGCGATTTTCGCTTAGCAATGGTTGGGACCATGCTTCGCACAGCGATTAAATTTTGGGTCCCGTTTCGCTTAACGGTGGTTTAAACAGCCTCATGTTTGCTGTTTTTTAAATGTTTTTCTGTTATTTATAAAGTTAAAGTTTACTGTTTAAAATGTTTGAAATCATAAAGTGCACTTAATAAACCCTTTGTTAACCAAATTTGACTTTGTTCTGACTCTTTTTTAATTTGTTGCTGTATTTTTCCCCCATTGAGATGCATTGACTAGGTTTGAATGCATTTCAGTTGGGGAACCGCGTTTCGCTTAGCGATGTTTCCTATGGAGATTTTCGCTTAAGCACGGCAATTCATTCCTATTGGATCCGATTATATGGTTTTCAATGCATTTCAATGGGAAACCGCGGTTCGCTTAGCAATGAAATCGCTTAGCAGTGATTTTTTTCGGAACAAATTAACATTGCTAAGCGAGGCACCACTGTATTTTAAAGAAATTGATGTATGGACCTGAATCTTTCTGAAGTAATGGTGGCAGCAAATGTAAAAGAAGTGAGTGTTTGCCTTCGTGTGCTCTGAGGCTCGAAGGTCAAGCAAAGGGGCACGCGCGTGGATGCCACAGCCACCTTTTGCACAGACTACCCATGTCAGCTCCTGCATCATAAGGGCCACCTTTAGGACAGACTGTGCATGTCAGCTCCTGTATCATAAGGGCCACCTTTAGGACAGACTGTGCATGTCAGCTCCTGTATCATAAGGGCCACCTTTAGGACAGACTGTGCATGTCAGCTCCTGTATCATAAGGGCCACCTTTAGGACAGACTGTGCATGTCAGCTCCTGTATCATAAGGGCCACCTTTAGGACAGACTGTGCATGTCAGCTCCTGTATCATAAGGGCCACCTTTAGGACAGACTGTGCATGTCAGCTCCTGTATCATAAGGGCCACCTTTAGGACAGACTGTGCATGTCAGCTCCTGTATCATAAGGGCCACCTTTAGGACAGACTGTGCATGTCAGCTCCTGTATCATAAGGGCCACCTTTAGGACAGACTGTGCATGTCAGCTCCTGTATCATAAGGGCCACCTTTAGGACAGACTGTGCATGTCAGCTCCTGTATCATAAGGGCCACCTTTAGGACAGACTGTGCATGTCAGCTCCTGTATCATAAGGGCCACCTTTAGGACAGACTGTGCATGTCAGCTCCTGTATCATAAGGGCCACCTTTAGGACAGACTGTGCATGTCAGCTCCTGTATCATAAGGGCCACCTTTAGGACAGACTGTGCATGTCAGCTCCTGTATCATAAGGGCCACCTTTAGGACAGACTGTGCATGTCAGCTCCTGTATCATAAGGGCCACCTTTAGGACAGACTGTGCATGTCAGCTCCTGTATCATAAGGGCCACCTTTAGGACAGACTGTGCATGTCAGCTCCTGTATCATAAGGGCCACCTTTAGGACAGACTGTGCATGTCAGCTCCTGTATCATAAGGGCCACCTTTAGGACAGACTGTGCATGTCAGCTCCTGTATCATAAGGGCCACCTTTAGGACAGACTGTGCATGTCAGCTCCTGTATCATAAGGGCCACCTTTAGGACAGACTGTGCATGTCAGCTCCTGTATCATAAGGGCCACCTTTAGGACAGACTGTGCATGTCAGCTCCTGTATCATAAGGGCCACCTTTAGGACAGACTGCCCATGTCAGCTCCTGCATCATAAGGGCCATCTTTGGACAGACTGCCAATGTCAGGATTAATGTTGGCTAAATCCAACTGCAAGCCCAAGGCAGTCTAGATCTATTGAATCAAGAGCCTCTAATATAAGCATTGAATTAACAAGTCCCATTCATTTAATGGGTATACTATAGCTGGGACAATAAAGGGATTTCACTCCAAGGCTGACAAAAACAGTACAGTGGTGCCTCGCTTTACGATTGCCCTGTATTACGACGAATCCACTTTATGATGACCTTTTTGGGATCGCAAAACGATAGTCTAAATGGAGAAATTTTGCTTTGCGATGATCGGTTCCCTGCTTCGGGAACCGATTCTTCGCAAAACGATGATTTTTCAACAGCTGATCGGTGGTTTCAAAATGGCCTCTGGGTAAATAAAATGGCTCCCCGCTGTCTTTAAGGATGGATTCCTCACTGTACAGGCAGTGATAATAGCCGCCGTATGGAGGATCTTCGCTGGACGGTGAGTTTTAAGCCTATTGGAACGCTTTGAAAGGTTTTCAATGCGTTTCAATGGGCTTGTTATTTTCGCTTTACGATGTTTTCACTTAACGGCAATTTTCCTGGAATGGATTATCACCATTAAGTGAAGCACCACTGTAGTGATATTGTGGATATGAGGGTCCTATTGTATTTTTGCTGCTGCCTGGGCCTGGCCTGCTGTAGTCAAAGAAGAGATCAGAGAAGACACCAAGTGGCAAGATGAGAGAAATTTCCCCATATACTAGTAGGGTTTTTTTTCAGGGAAGCTTTGTACTGCTTTTCCTTTAATTGTCTGGTAGCTTTCTTGGGTTTATTGTAAAAGTGGGCTACGTATATTTTTAAATGTTTACATTTTTTTCACCCATTATGTTTTTGGGTGCTTTCCCTATTTGAGTGATTTTAAAACATAGTTATTTGGATAATTTACTGTGCAATTATTCTGTTCAAGATGTACATTTTGCTGGGAGGGGGCTTGATTTTTTTTCCTTATGTACTGTACTGCCTTTGGAGTAGATTGATTCTCTGTTGCCTTATTATTGCTTGTTTGGTTTTTTAGAGTAGTTTTGAAAGGTTTTAAAGAGTTATTTAGGGCTTTTAGAGTGTATGAAAAAAGAATCAAAGAAACTCAGAGAAGGCTTTTCCTTTCATGTAAAATGAAAGGACTGGTGAATGAAGAATACGAAAACAAAAGACACACTCCCCAAAACAAAACAAACATGGAAATTTTCACAATGCACATCTCTAATGAGCAAAAAGATACTAAGGTGTTTGGGTTTTTTTTTTTCAGATGAACACACCCTAGACTTTACATTAATTCTGAGTTACTCACATTTTTATACAATCTATTAGTGTATTGAATTCCTTTCTTTTTTGCCAACAAAAACTAAACATGTTTTGTTTACTAATTCTGTACTTGGTTTATATTCCTAACCATTTTTACACTTCAAATATTTCATGTATAAGTATATATCACAAACATGTAATTTCATCTCTAATAAAGTCAGGAATCTTAATATTAAAAGTTAGTTTTCATACTATGTTCACAATGTGTAACTGTAAATACAAGTTCAGTTTAAAGGGTGGTGCTTCATGATATCTGTCCACCAATAGGACAGATAACACCAACAGATGACTTCTTCCTCACTTGTAGCAGTCTCTCTTTGCCCCCCAGATCTGCTCTGGATGGTCAGGGGAGTAACCACAGCAACTCTTAAGAGGAGTAGAAAGGGTGCAACCCCTTTTCAGGATTTTCCAGGTAAGAATATTCAGAAATGGTTTACTATTCTCTTCTTCTGGGGGCATCCTGGGATTATGCAGCTTCCCTAAGGCCACACAGGCTGGCTCTTCTGGGATGCACAGCAGGAAATTGAACCCAGAATTTCTGGCTCTACAGTCAGACACCTACCTAACTCATTGAGTTAGACAGTCAGCTGCTCCAACTTTATTACAAAATTGTTTCTAGCAGAGCATCAATAGTAAAGAATTTATAAGCTGTCTTTGAGATCCCAATTTCCCACTTTAAAAGTTTTTTTCATAAATTTTTACCGGTGCCACTTCATTTTCTACATCCTGACAAATTAATTCACATATTGAAATTCATTTTCTCTAAATTAATTTCTACATACTTGTAGCAAAAGAAAACCACCGCCTACTGCAGTTGCTGCAAGTTTCCCAACCTTCTGGAACAAAAATCCCGCACACCTAAGGAAAAAAAACCGGAAATGTAGCTACCATACTTAAATGTAAACATTAATAGGAGAAAAGGCAAAGAGAACAACATGATTTGTTATATTCCAGAATTCTTATTCCATGCCTCAACATGTATGTAACCAGTGTTAAAAAGTTGCAAAATCTCATGGCATAGGAAATATGCAAGAACAGAGTCCACACATCACCTGTTATTTTAGAGCAAGGTGAGATGAACAGCAAAATTAAGAACAAACAATGCATTGAGTTTTTCTTTGAAGTGAATGGTATTTAATTCCAAGTGAAAAAAGACTACATGACATTTTGTCATTAATTGCAATCAGGCAGTAATTTACATGATAACCTCTATAGGCAGATTCCTACTAAACAAAACAAAGTAATACTGTGAGGTGTGAATTATACTGTCATTGGAAAAAACAGTATCACTATTTTCAATATTTTTTCAAATCTGAACTATTGTATGTTTTCTTTCTACCATAACACTGAAACTCTTAATCCTTAACTCTAGGCTATTTTGCTGAACAGCAAAATAAAAAAAAACTCTCAGATTTTTATTTTAAAAAATTGTTTAGTGATGCATAAGAGCTGGTACACTATTTAACAAAGTGCTACAAGTTATGATAGTTCTTTTATAATACTTCTTTTACTTTATTTGCATGTATATAAAATGAAAACACTTAAAAAGTTGGGAAATCAGCATTTTTTTCTTTAAAGGAAATAATTTTGGCTACATTTCAAAACATAGGCACAATTTCATTCAGTAACATCATGTAGTTATGGCTTTTGTTGGAGATTCCTTGAGGTGGGGTGGGGGGAAGAAGTAAGTTACTGAACACTTAGATCAGGCAAGAATGTTCTCAATAGGTCTCAGTGGCTGGGACTACCTGTATGCAAGGACAGATTGGGGTGTCTGCTCAAACACTCACTGGAAAAAACCCATCTCTATCCAGTTTCTTCAGCTTTATGACATTAAGACATAGGAAGCTTAGGTATACATTTTTGATAGTTAATAAAGCAATGCTTTTTCACTCTCTTAGCAAACATAATCCTCCCCCCTTTGAAAAATTTTATAGCAGTAATGACATTTCCTCTCCAAGACTTTTCAAAACTTAGTTGCAAGACTTTTATTCGTTACTTTTATAAAAACTATTTTCTGCTACTTGACATCTCTTTTCTACACTACTAAATCTGTTCTCTGGAATTTAAAGATACTTTATTTCGCTTTAAAACCATGAAAATTGATTAACTATGTAAAACAAAACCACACTAAAACATTTTAAAGTAATCTGTTCTCACCAGCCGGTTACTCCACCAATTACAATCTGAGTAGCTACAGAATACTTTTCTACAATAGGTCCAGAATTTCGGCCAAATAATCGGTTCCACCAATGATGACGCCTTGCATATTCTGTTAAATCCAGTACTTCATATGAGTCATCATCACTTTCATGTTCTTTAAAAGAAAAAGTGAAAGTTAGTCTCTCATTACTTTTCAAGATACAAAATGCACGTTTTAGCAGCTAACAATGCTATTTTCATAAACATACTTTCATGTTCCTTAAAAGAAAAGTGAAAGTTAATCTCCCATTACTTTTCAAGATAGAAAATGCACTTTTTAGCTTGACAGCTAACAATGCTATTTTCATAAACTTATACATTATATAACTGAATAAACAGAACACACTTTTAAATTTAGCTGTTTTCAAAAGCAAACTGTAAAAATGATTGTTTTCTTGGTAAAAAAAGAGAGCTAAAGAGACAAAGACTAGGCACTCTAATGCTCCTGTCCAGATCTACAATTCTATGGTCTGAATGTCTCTATCCAAGGATGTTTTCTGAGGGATCCATATCTAATACAAACACATTAAATGCAGTATCAAATGTTATTTTTCATTTCATTCCCAGTATGAAATGTATAGTATTTTAGCAATATACAATCATTAGGCAAATCTTACAATTTAGATGGCCATTCTAAGAACTTCACTTGCAATTTCACCAAGTGCCTTCATGCAGCCAGTCCTTTTGAATATTAAACAAACATGCAGAGTCAGACATGCCCATATACATATTTCTGTAGTGTCAGGAAAATGGAGATAGTTGGCCAAAAAGGTGTACACATGAAGGACACAACAACTCTATTGCCTTGCTAGCCATATGTGAATATATCACATTCAAGTAAATGCTACTATATACAATTAAGACCGCAAGCCACTGGTGCTTGATTGTGCCCTAGACAGAACATAAAATAAAAGAGGACAGAAGATGTATATGCATGTGTACGCACACACAAGCAGGCCTGTACATAGTGAAGTGTGCCCTTTTCTACCCTTTTAGCATCCTAATTGCAAAAGACATGGCACAGATCTAAAGTGTGTTAAACAACTCTTTTAGAGTATATGTTACCATCTTCAGTCTACATAGGATAACTTATCCACTGCATACTCCAAGGGCCCTCTGACACACAGGGAACTTCAGCCCATTCAACTTCTCAGATGAAGAGAATGATACAATTCCATTTCTAAAATTATTAGTATTATCATCCTCATCTAAATTACTCACACCTTATTAGGTGCATTCATAAAAAACTATCTACATACCTAAAATTAGACATCTGGCATTGGGGGCATTAGAGAGAAAAGAGAATAACTTTTCCGCCTCTTCAAAGAAACAGATTCCCCTTAACTTCTTACATGAACAGAGCATGTCACCGCAAAGGCCTTGAGATGCTGAGGAAGCCTCCCTGAATGTGTCTTGCCAACAGCTAGTCCTCACAGGGCCCACACGCTTCCTCTAGAATAAAGGCCTGGGTGCCTCTTTCATATTTAGCAAACCATTGCTACTGCCTTCCTGCCATGCTTCGAAGTTCTCCCAGAGACCTTTGATGGCCACCGTGGGAAACAGGGTGCTTTGGTCGGATCCAGCAGGGCTTGCTTTCTTACATTCTAGAACAGGTTTCCTAGGGAAAGGATTCCAGCTGGTTACAAAGTGACTTGCTCTCCTTTGCTGGAAAAAAGCGGCTGGACCCCAGGAAGAAAGAGCGAGCGAGCCAGCCGGCCGGCCGACTCGCCCGCCCACCCAAGGGCCTGCTGCCTCCTCTCCCACTCGGCTCCGATGCTCCCCACCCCCTTCCCACCCGAAGGACTACTAAGGCCTTCCTCCCCAACCCCATAAAGGGGCCTCTAGAAAAGCGTCTGAGCGAGCTCCGCCCTCTCCGCAGCCAGCCAGGCCCCTTTAGCCCCTCCGACGAGCCTGGCAAGAACGGCGCCTGCCGGCTATGGAGCCCGGAGGCAGCTCAGCTCCAGAAAAAGGGAGAGTTTGATGTCGAAGTCGAGGCGGCTGGCCCGGCTCCTCCATTTGCGACTCGGGCCTTGGTGAATGAACAGTATACAGGCCAGCTGTACTCCGGGAGGCAGGAGCAGCACCATGGCAACCGAATAAGAGCTCACCGTGAGGAAATGGCGTTCTCACTGACCTGAGGCGAAGCGAGCCCTCCGAGGCGCCATGTCGCCAGTTGCGGGGTGGGGGGGAGGGGGGAAAGGATGACAGCTGCTCTGCTCCGCCCACCAACCGCTCTGTAAACCCCCCCCCCGTGTCAGGTTAGGACGTTTAAGTGCTCCGAAAGCAGCGCATGCGTATAAAGAAGGAAGGATTCTGAACGCCCTTTACCAACTCGTGTAAAAGACTGCATTCTCCTGCCCTCGCCTCCGGCTGTCGTGCGGGTGACGTCACGAGAGCCTACCCCGGGAAGTTATGGGGATTGTAGTTTGTTTTTCGCTTCCTTAACAACAAGTAGAAATAGTATATCGTGATTCGTAACAGTTTTGAGGGGGAAGCCTGGGACAGTCATTCAGACAGAATTTGTTCTAAAGCATGGCAAGTGCCCCCGTGTTGTCTTTTTTCTTCCTCCTGCTCCACTGAAGGAAGCAGCAGTAACAGAAAATAAGTATTTGCAGGGCCCAAAGGCCTGCCTCTGGCTGCCACCAGCTCGGCTGCTCTTTGGAAAGGTGGCCTACTCCCCCTTCACCTCAAGACCATGAACTCTGCATAGTTCCCGCCCAGCTCCTGTACCTGTGGCCTAATGCTGTCCCTAATGTCCCTCCCAAGAACTTCTTCATGCCTTGCGCCCCACCCCAAATTTGGGAAACAGTGAGAATAGATAAAATGTTTTACTTGAAAGTAGAGAAATGTGCAAATCGTTTGGGTAAGCGGTCACTCTGGCATCTGCATCATTTTCCAGTGTAACTTGATTCGGAAGGAATGGTCTAGTCTTGGGTTCTGGGGGGGGGGGAGTTTTATAGATAGAGAGATAGAGAGAGAGGAAAAAGACTATAGCTAGGCTAAAATAATGTTACCATTGCCAGGACATTTTGTTTCCATCTTCCTTACCACTACCACCCCAGGTTTATGGAGCTAAGGTTAGTGATACTCTTTAAAAACAGATCTGGCAACAATATAGCAATGCCTGTGCTCCCTCCATGTGTAATTCCCCCCTCACATATAATGCATGGGGCAAATGTTCCCTGTGCACCCCCTTAAAACAGCCCTGAGTGGATGTGTTTCAGCCAGTGTAGTGGTTAAAATGTTGGATTAGAATGGAAACATCTTTCCACATCCCTATCCGATCAGGAAGCTCATTGGTTGAACATGAGCCAGCCACTTCCTCTTAATTTACCTTACAGGTGTATGAGGGTTAAAAAAGGGGGGGGTATGGACTGCTCTAGGAGATGTGGATATAAAAACATCTTAATTAGTGAAAATAAAGATTGTTTTGTGGATTACATGTAAATCCACCTAGATGTTAAAGTGGACATTTCTTGGGTTGTTTACATACAGGACAAAACATGGAAAGTATGTTGCAATATGTGAATTCAACTCATAAGTCTAAGATAATGTTGAGTTAAGATTGCTCACGTTGTTGCACTGCATTTTCGCCAGTAACACAGATGGAGGAACTGTTATATTTCTCTGTTTTTTTCTCTCTCAACAATTATACCCTGTACTCTTTTTTTTTGCAAGAACAGCAGAATAACTATAAACATAATGCACTACTATAATCTTTTAGAGACAGTGAGGCAATAAAAACTGCAGAATCAATAGTAGCAGGAGGAACAATTAGTCTAATGATCAGCATCACTATCTAATTTTGTACCTTCAATTTATTTAACATATTTTAAAATACATTGCCTTTTAAAATATATTTGACATCATTTCACTGGGCTGTAGTATGAAGGCAAATTAACAAAGTGATTCCCATGGGAAAATTGATGTACTGTACTTGGAACCACATTCTGTTCTATATGAATGATGCCAGAATATTGTTTGTGCCAATACAAACATCACTAAATCATGAGTCACAATTCCCCTCCAAGAAATTGATCAACAAATAATACATATATTGGCCCTTTAAAGTATTGTTGTGCTTCATAAACCATGTACAATTGTGTGTTAATCTTTATTTACATCTATAGCAGCATCACAGCTTACTAAATTTTTTAAAACCCCAAATATATATTAATTTAGAAGACATAATTTTGCTAGTAACAAGGTTTGTTGGAAAATAGTGTTATTTATTGATTTTTGAAGCATTTTTAGCTGCAACACCCTTATTGCCAAATACTTTACTCAGTTCCTTTTTAAAAATAGGATTTTAAAATACTGACCTGATGTTGTTTTGAAACAACCATAGCTTGTCTCCTTTGACATGCCTATACCTATGTGTTTGTTTATTTTAGTATTGGTTTGTCACCTTTCAGACAGTTTCATTAATACTGGAACAAGATTCAAATTATTATAGGTATCAATAATATAGCTATCAAATGCTATCAATTATTATAGCTATCAAATTATTTTAGCTATAATAATAAAATGGCACAGCAAAGTATTCGAACAATTTAGAAACTTTTGTAAAAGATGGGCTTAACTAATGCATTTATAAAAAGACTGTTATGAAGGTAAATTTATTCTTTCGTATTCTCTTAGCAAATGGAACTTGATCCTTAAAACGTTACAGTGAGTACTGTATTTTGGTTCATGGGCTAGTGTTGCATTTTTAGTGGAAAACTGGATCAGGCACATCATTCCTTGTTTAAATCTTCCACAGAATGGTTCCTCCTATGATTTCTCCTAGAAGACATTTCTCTCTCTGAAAAAGGATTTTATCCCATAAAGTATGCACTTATTTAAAGAGGTTACCTGCATGTTGCTGTCCCCATTTCTCTTTTATTTTTCCCCTTCTACATTTTACTGCTGGCCTCCATTGTCAGTTCAACCCAAACTCAAAGGTACATTGGCTGTAGTGGGTTTGGAATAGGCAGAAAGTGGCATAATCCCCTTGTTTTAGTTGATCTTGGATTTGCCAGCAGAACTGTTGTGCTGGTGAGATCAGCTGGAAGAAGAGCCAGAGAAGGAGAGGAGATGAATTGGAGAAGATCCAAACCTCTTTCAGCCCAGATTCACAGCCATTTCTACCAGCACAAAGATAGGCTAGGGTCAGGGTAATCTTAAATAATCTGAAACATCCTCAGGCTGAATTCAGTTTCATTTCAACAAGGCGTAGCTGGCTTACTGTCACCTCAGCCAACCCCCAGCTTTACTGCTGCTATTAGTTAAATCCTGCATTTGGATGCATTCCTACTAGAGATGAGCACTTCATATTTGTATCCAGGGGAGTTTCCCTGCTCAGCTGCTGAGCAGTTGACTGTGGGGAGAGGCAGGGAAGCACCAGTGGGACTACTTGCATAATTGGCATGATAATAATGTTGACTGACGTGCACACGATATGGAGCCTGGTGAGTGAACCGGCTGGTTCTGGGGGCTGAAAAAGGACCTCCAGGGCACCTGTGTTGGTGCGCTTCTTATTCATATCCTCTGGATATAAATACAAAGTGCCCATCTCTAATTGCTACAATTCAGAAACCAACTGTATTATGACCAGTTTATATGTCATAGTCATACAATTGGGACAAGGAAGAGCCACCAACATAGCCTTGATGTTGGAGGTCATGATTGATTGATTGATATTATTTATATCCCATCTTCCTCCCCCACTTACTGCTTAAAAGATGAAATGCTGTGTCTCATCTCCACTCAACACAACCTTGAAGTAGTAGCAGCGTAGAGGTCCTTTGGGGACCCCAAAGGTCCTTTGGGAGACTATGGCTGGAGAATTCCTCCTCATGAGACCCAATCTGGACAGATGGCCAGGATAAGGATACAGTACCCCTATTGGAAGGGGAGGATGGACAATTATTAAACACAGACTTTACCCTGGATTGGCGGGGTCCCTGCAACACCCAGGAGACTAATCCGTTCAAAGTTGAAAACTGGAAGCCCCCTCCTAACTCGTTGTTAGAGGGACAAAACGGTTGGAATATGTTTGTAGACATAGGCTGTTTGTTGAACAATCCAGTAAATGTAACACCAATTTCTAAATCAAGGAAGTCTCTCAAATTATTTGAAGAAAAAGTAGAGCCAAGACCTGAGCCCTCACAAGAAGGCAGGAACAGAGTGAAAATACAGTATATCTTCCTTCTCATGTAAATAAAAGCCACCTGCAGAAAGCTTGGAAAGAACTATAGAACCCATTCAATTTCCTCACAACACCCAAACTGCAAATCTGACTTCAGGTACAGTATAACACCATCCAGTACAGGATCAATCCCTATCCTCTGATTTGTCTTGTGACTGACCAGGAGCACTTCTGTCTTGTCTGGATTATGTTTCACTATTTTAGTTCTCATCCAGCCTATTATTGACAACAAGGTGCTGGTCTAGGTATAAAACAGCTTGCTTGGAATCAGATGGGAAGGAGTGACAGAGGTGGGTGTCATCAGCATGTTGGTGGCACTCAACCCTGTAGTGGTCCGGCCACCACACAGGTGTGGAAGAATCACACAGGACGCAAAGATCAGGGTTGAAAGGGTTCCAGAGCGATACGGTCAGCCGTGGTGTATTATGGCTTGAGGGGAAAAGAGACTCCGCCCCGATCGTCCGCAGCCCTCATTTAATTTTTCTTAATGCTCTCTCAAGGTTACACAGCCAATCCAATCAAGTATATAAACTTACATGCAAATCTTACATAACATCTCTTACTGAGCATGCTCAGGGTGATACAACATTACCATATATGGGTATGTTACATAAGTTCCCTAGCTTGCTGGTGTACGTAACTGCTTCACTTAAGCATAATGGCGTACTCCCACAGAACCCCAAGACTGAACAACCTCTCCGAGCTGTTTCAAGTAGATGTTGAATAACATGGAGGGCAGATCTGAACGCTGGGAGACACCATAGGCTGATGGCCAAGATGTCAAGCAGGGTTCCCCCAACACTGTCTTCTGAGATTAGCTGTCCAGGAAGGATCAGAACCACTGTACAGTGGTGCCTCGCTTAGCGATCACTCTGTTGAGCAATGAAATTGTTTAGCTGTGGGGTTTTGGCCATCGCCAGAGCGATTGCTTAGCGATAGCCCCTATGGGGAAAAATCGCTTTGCAATGATCGCGGGGACGCGATCATGGCAAAGCAACCTTTTTTGCACAGCTGATCGGCGGTTCCAAAATGGCCGCCAGAAAAACAAAATGGTCACCCACTGTTTTGCCTCGC